TTAAAGTTCTTAAGAAACAGCACCTCTAAGGCAGAGATCATGTTGAAACTGGATTTTAGATATGACCACTGGATATTGCTATTCACTCCAATATAGTTTTGTGAAACATCATCAAGGTCTGGTTTCAGGCACCTCATAGAATTGGCTTTGAACTATTGCTGGATTAATGCTTTTTATGAGTGGATAGAGATAAAAACACTAGCTAAAGATAAACACAGAGACCGACAGTATCACAATTTAGAAATAATTACATTTATTCTCTGGTCTGCACCCTTTCCATAAGCACTGCAACGACCTTTCTAACAGATCACACTTATCCTAAACATATGCAGTTAGTGGCTCAATTAATGGAACTATAAATTAAAACAAATGTCACTACAATTTGGGGATTTTTTGACAGTTTCAGGGAATCCACTCTTCACTTTCTCTGTGTGTTTGTGTAAATAAATAAATAAATAATGTGGTGATAAAGTGTTCTGTGCAGTACAGTAGACTAATGTGAAATGCTGTGAATCCATGAACATTAAACAGTTCAAGTTAAAATCTTTAAGTCACTCTCTCAGTGAGTATCTAATATTATGATAGACCCTGCATAGGCCTCAGGCTGTATGGCCTAGCTAGTAATTGCTCCACAAAAGACAGTTAACAGTTCCCCTGCTCTTCCCTAACTACCTTCCTGACTGCTTATTGAAGTCTGATTTCTTACTCCTCTGGGTCATCATTCATCAGCCCTAGAGATCCCGCTGGGAGAGACTGACGAGACCTTTCCATATCCCTTGTTACCAGAGGCCATTTCTGATGGCCCAGGCTATAGAAAATGTCTTCACAGCAACCCAGTGGGACAAGCTATGGTTATAATACCCAAATAATCATTTCACAAATTATCATAATTATCAATCAATCATCCAGTTTGAACAATGTGTTTCTGAAGTATCAGATGGTTTTTGTGACCTGTAGCATTTTGTACACAATAATAAACCTAGAGAGATTTATAGGTCTATCCTGGTTCACATTTGCAGCAATGAAACTAAGTTAATTTTTAATTAAAAAAGCCCACTACCAACAACTTTCCACTTATATAGCGTACTTTGTGTTATGTTACACTTTCTAGATGGTCAAGGTTTCCAAAGCTAAGACAGTTTGAGTTTTCTCAAAACAATGTTCAAGACTATCAGTTACTTACTTTGGAAAAAACGGTTACTTTCAGATTATATTTTGTTTCCATCTGTACTGTATTAACAGCTTCTTACATTTTGCAATATAAAATACAGTGAGTCAAAAAAGGATAAAAGAAAAGGTGGGTTTTTATTTTTATATATATATATATAGAAATACCGGATTGAATCTAACTCTTTTAAAGCTGATGGTATCTCCCTCTCTCTGTGTAGTACAGTCTTGTTAATGGATAAATTCAAGCTCTCCAGAAAGTCAAAGAATAAATTTTAAACCTTTTGCCAAATGTCTATCCTATTGGATTTTGATAAGATGGCTATTGAGCTTTAATAATGTCTTCTATCCATTTTCAGCTGGCCCTTAACATGTCTCTTTATTTGTCCCTAAAGCCTCTTCAGCGATGCCTTTTTATTACAAGTCTCTCAGCTTGCTCTCAAGGGAGACAGGGTCGACAAGAGTGATAGATAGATAACTCTATAGATTATCTCCCACAGATGTTTTCTCTCCAGTAGCCCCTTAGGCTATTCCCTCTAAGTAAACAGAGACTAAATAGAGAGTCTACTGAAGAGAGAAGTCCCTGAGGTCTCTTGTCACCACAGTTAGAAAAACAGTCCATCCAGAAGAGGTTGGTTGGGAGCCCTATACCCGGAGCCTCTCTCAGCATGATTCTCAAATGTTCATCCAAAGTGACTTTTAGAGCAAAGTTAAATACAAGTAGCATTACCCATCAGAAATAAAAGCATCATGCAATGGACATTGGCATCATTTCCTATCTGAACAAGGAGTATTATCTTTCATCTCCTGCTCAAAGTTAAATCAAAATGATAATGATACAAAGCTGGTTTTTAGATGTATTATCTGCAGTGAGAAAGCTTGGAAAATGCAGACAAAAAGCACATGAGCTGCCCTTTAAGAAAAATAAAATAGAGGGCAGCAGATTTAATCAGGGAAGATGTTCTTGAAAATGTGTTTGGGAATCTGTGAAAATATCTATATCTATGCAGATAAAAATGTGTGTGACCTACCTGATGGCATATATGCAGTGCACTAAAGAAATGTGAACTTTACCTGATTCTCTTTAAGCAAATACTTCAACCTCCAGAAAAAATAATCCAAACCATGTATTGGCACAATGCAATCAAAGCTAACAATATGCAAATATACAAAAATGTTTGGCAGTTCACTTTGGCTGGGATGCACATGCTTAGAAGTTTGAGTTATTCTGTGAACTATATGAATCTACAGATTTCACAGAACTGGGCTGGAAACCTCATGGGAAAAGGTCCTCTTATTAGATTCCTGGGACTTCCTGCTTCCTGTGAGTCCAGTACCACCACAAAAATCAGCCTTCTAGTGTTAGTTTGACACTTCTACTTCTAGCAGCTACAGAACCCAGACATGTGGAGGCCATAACATATTGTGAAAAAGTTATTTGAACCTTAAAAAAAAACAGTCTGAGTTAATTTCTATTTTACCCCAAGCTAAATGAAGCCTTTATTTATTATACTATAGACTAGTGTCCTCTAAGTAAAGTTCTTGAGCATTTCACTAACAGTTTATTAATGGAAAGGGACCAACAGAAAGTAGAACATTTCCTCCAGTTGGTGATTTAACCAGGAAAAATGATGTTGAGGGTTTAAACTAAACAAACTTCACGTGTCTCCAACTATACTTCAATTCTGTCAGTCTTCCCTCCAAGCTTTCCCTTTTTTCAGGTCTTCCCTCTCCTCCACTTCTTTCTCTCACTCCCTATTTATGTTCCCTGCTATTGCCCCCTTCAGAACCTTTGATCCAACAGCCACCCAACTGACTCATTTCCAAACAATGCTACCACTGCTTGGTTCTGACTTCCCTTGTTTCCAGCCTTGGCTGGCCCACCCACTCCATTCACATCTGTCTTGGTGGCTGGATGGGGAGTGAGCCACATTCCTGTCCTCCAGCATGCCTCCAAAGGAAGAGGATTAAATGGAAATCAAACCCCAGAAAATTGTGTATCCCATTGGGTATGGCAATTTAATGATTCGACAAGTTTGGGAACTGAAATGTTCCTCCAGGGGCTTCTTGCACTGTCAGAGTGAAATATTGATATACAAAATTAAGCCATACAGCCCTGTCCTGATGCTGCAAAAATCATACAAGATTATTTTTCATTCATTCTTCCCCTCCTCCCCCAGCTGAAAAACTGTCCAGCAATGGTCCTTTCACAAGCCATTAAGTTTAGACTTGAACTCTTTACCTTACTGCTTTGACCTTTTTCACCCTGGCTGTAAAACCCTACTGCCCATCCTTCAGTAAATTTATCACCTCATAAACTCCCACTAGTGCTTCTCTACAATGCATTTAGAAGAAAAAGTCACAGTGGCAGTCCCTCTGTCAAATATCATAATTGTCCGGTGTTACATTTAGAGTAAGAGAATTTTGAAGATGCTATTTTTTTTACATCTGAAGATATCTGTTGAATGTCTCCTCCTACTCTTCCTTTGTTCAAAGCCTTCTTTTTAGGTTGAATGTGGATTTGCGATATTGTAATTAAAGACTACCAGATAGAAATAGCTGAGCAGTCCCTGGGCCATGGAGAATTTACTTCCATCTTTGTGATAAGTGGGTTAGGATAATAAGAACCTGCCACCTGGTCACCATGTCTGCTCAGACAAAAGGATCCCACTGAGGCACAGACGAACATGAAATGAGTTATGGAGATCAACAAGGTAAAAAGTTCAGCACTATTGCTATAGGTCCTCTTGCAAGGTCAATGGATGGTCAAAAGACATTTCACAGAGGAAACTTTAGCTTCCAAAATAAAAGCTTATTTTGCTCAACCTGGTGAGAATAGAATGGTCCATACTGGACATAGATGTGTCTAAATATCTGTTCTCAAACTAACTCCGGAGCCTGACAAGTATTAGATTTCACTATGTTTGGCAGAACTGCACAAGTGTTTTCTTTTAACTTTCAGAGCCAAGAAATGGTATTTAAGATGGCCTAAATGGGTGAATAAAATGGCAGTTGTTGCAGTTTTCCAACTTAAAATATTTGACACTTTTGAATCTCATGTGTGTCTATTTCTAATAAGACAATAACGTGAAAGGAATTAAAGCCAACTCATGACTCAAACAAGGATAAGCTACCCCTCTTATGGGCATCTAGGTAGGCTATAATCAAATGTGACTTGCTATGCTTTATCTTATAATACCATTAACCAAAGATACCAGTGGAAAGAATGTTATTTTTATGTTATTTAAAATAATCCTGACCAAAATACTAGACAGGCTACTGACATATACTTTATGGGGTTGTCAAACAGTTACAGTATAGACATTTATAGAAATTATAATACAGCTAAAATACACTTGAAACCAGATTTTCTCTCGAAATATAATTTAAGATGTCACAAACTGAGGAAAAGCTTGGTAATACATAAGACTAGTTAAATTCTGTTCTTTTATTCATGCATACCAGATCCCTTTGATTTCAAATAAACATCATATGGTGAACTGACTTCTACTTAGAAGTAAGGACAAACATCATTTCACTGGAAAATGGGGTTTCCAGGTTTGAACAGCTATTGCCTAGGCTATAACTGTAACAAAGATTCCTTTTACATAAGTACTGGATCCACAAATCACTCATAAAAGTACCCCCAAATAAAACTAGGGGTACAATCCTGAGCTCATAGAAATGGAAAACCAAGCTCTGAAAGCCTTTTTCATGTTTTTTGATTCATACATTTATTACACATTTGTATTCAAATGAAAATGGAAAACTGTCAAGATACTTACAAAGCCAAGTAATGAACACAACTTGGAGAAGATTAAATCTTTTCCTACCTTTTTTATACAGCCCTCTTGGGATGCCACCTCAGGATCAGTCAGTACTTGCTGTAAAACAATAAAAACAACAATAAGTCAATTTGCAATGAAAAAAGAACATCACTGGGTGTAAAGGCCAGAGTCCTTGAATGCAGCAAACCTGTGTAGACATTTTCAAAATTAGATACAATACTCACACCAGTACTACTACTATGAAAACACACTGCGCTGGACTTGAGCAGTCACTTCATTCTGGGATGTTTCCCATCGAATTAAATTAGTCTAAAATTGGTAAGTGGTTAAGACTGCTGCTTCAGGCCCCAATTCAGCAAAGCACTTAAGCAAATGCTTAAATCCTACTGAAGTCAATAACTAAGCAGGGTAATATTAGCATAAATTCCACTTCTTGGGGGCATATTTGACGAGTGCCAAGGGTTTAGTGATTTCTAGCTAGCTGTGAGGTTCTCAATCCTGTTTTTAAATAATATGTAACATTTAACATAAACAATTATATTAAAATCTATAATAATAAGTATAACAAAACAATAACAAAGTATAACAAAGATTAAAAGGTAACAAAATAAAGGTGGAAAGCCATAAATACTATTTCGTTCCTATATTTTTATCCAGTACAATAGTTTACTTCATTGTTAAGACTTTTTCAAAATAGTCTGGCCTCATAAATGGATGGCTTAGTAAGAAAGACAGGTTTATCAATGGGATGTCCCAGTTCAGAGCATTCCGCTCAAGCCACAGCGTACATTCATAAAACACTTCCCATACCAAGGGATCTCAAAATACTTTATGTACTTGGAGGTATACCAGCCTGACTGATATTATTATTATTCTAGAGCAGATAGAAATTTTGCAAGTTTTTCCTCAAAAAAATATCTCACTGAAAATGTTCAACTGTTCTAGTTAATATTTCTTTAGATTTGATACCCACACACACAAAAAGGCACAAAAAGCATCCTGCCTAGAGTACAGACAGAGAAGATGGAATGCAGTGGAAAATCCAGAGGTGGTGATGCAGTCATTTCTGGAGTAGATGCCAGGTAACCACCGGCATCCAATATGCTGTACAGCAGCACAATTCTGTCTAAAAAATCAATTAGATGTAAAGAAATACTGTATTGGAAAATAATTAAGCTAAGTCTGCAGAAGATCCTAATATATCTGCGAGAGAAATCCTCACACACTTAAGATGCTAACATTGGAGAGAGAAGAAATAAATCACAGTGGTCTCCATGCATTGCTGCTGGAATTAGGAGTAGTGGGGGGTGCTACCACACCAACTACCTTGAAGTAGTAATACCAAATATCAAAAACATGGTTTCCATCATCAGCACCCCTGCTATGAAAATTGTTCCAGCACTCTAGAGAATTAGATTGGATTGCACACCATTAACGATGGCTTCCCTTGATTCAGCAGCACAGGCTTGGTGACGGGTATGGTATGTGTTTGGAGGAATGAGCTGCTGGCGATCTCTTCCAGGTGAGATCCAACATCAGGGTTTTCCAACCCACTTCTGTTCATTAAAGACCTTATGGCATTTTTTTAAACAGTAGGTGGTAAGAGAACTGCCCCAGGATTCTGCCTCAGAGTGACTGCACTTCGGTGATGGTGAAAGTTAGATATAGACAAGCAGGCAGATGGGCAGGTTAAGTACTTAAGTTCTATAAAATGCTGTAAAGATTCATTAGGGTAGGCATGCTAAAGCTTGAGCCAGTACTCTAGCTCCAATTCAACATAGCATTTAAGAAATTCCATTGATTTTGATGGGACTACTCACACATTTAAAGTAGAGCATCTGGTACATTCGATTGCTAACAATTTTCTGCTAAAAATTGTTTTGGGAATAACCTTATGGCATTTTTTTAAACAGTGCTTTTTCAGTGCTCGTGTGGGGCTGGAATGCTCAACACCTTGTAGGATTACACCCTAAATGCAATGTCACAGGCCATCCTGGCTGTCAGCCGGAGCTGCAAGACAGTACAAAAAACTGAGATGGAAATTAAAGTTATCAAAATGAGAAATGTTACACATTTTAGAGAAAATTTTCCATTTTTAAAACAAAACAGACCCTCAGTTGGTGTAAATTCACTTGGCTCTGATAGCTAATTTACATCAATTATTATTATTAATGTATGTCAATTTACACCAGGTGAGGACCTGGCCTGAAGTTAGTGGGCCTCTCTGACCCAGGGCAGGTGAGACTGACCCATTTACTGAACTCAGAAATGTTGGCAAATGTTTCTGAGCTCAGCTGTAATAACAACATGTCATATTTTAAATATTAAGAATTCTAACTCGTTCTATATTTTACATAACTTTTAATAGACACTGAAATTGTGGTTTGGAAAATAGCTAAAAGCAAACAAGAGTGAAAGGTGAACACTAGAGCAATATAAAAAAAAACCGTGAAGAGAAATCAGCCACCCAATATGCTGAAAGTTAAATAGTTTAACATGCACCGTTACAAGCAGATTCCACTGAGCTGCGTTGGAACAACCTGATCTTCGAAGGTGCTAAGTCCTCACTGCTCCCACTAACTTCACTGGGAAGTAATGGTCCTCAATGCCCTTTGAGAATGAGGCCACTAAACTCTCTATACTCCAGTGTGATCCTCTGTATGACAGTTTGAATACACCAATCAGATGAGCCTTAATTTGTTTGTGAAACAGTGACACACTCAGATGAATAAATCCTTGCTATTATATGCAAAGTATCATAAAATATTATTGATTGTAAATGTCGGAGCAATGTTCTCGACCCATTCAGAGGACATATTGCACTGATTTTACTTGACCATAAATGAACAGAAAAAAGTGAGAACTAAGTGCAAGTTGGGATGTGCTCTAGTGCTCTCTAATTGGGTTGCCATTCTTGAGTGCTCACCCCAGCATGGCCTTGATGGTTCTGCAGTTGCCCTGCCTTTTTTTCTCCTTCTTAGGGCATCTTTGAAAATGCCCACAACCTGGTTTGGCTACACCAGTGACTTGGTCCTCTGGCTAAAGTTGTTTAACAAAAATCCACCCCTTCTGGGGTACACTAGTCAAAAAGACAAACAAAACCCCCACAGAGTCTTCATACCAGTCTCAAGCTGGGCCTGGCCCCTCATCCCTGAGGGTCTGTCTTCTCTTTACAGTCCCTTTCAAAATTCAAACACAAATTTTCCATCCAGTCCTTCCTTCCTGAGTAGCTTTCTTCCAAAGTCTTCTCCTCCTAACAGAGGAGTCTCAAAGTTCGCCTCCTTGGGGCTATGCTGATTCCTGCCAGTTGCAGACCTGGATCAGTTTCCCTCAGCTGACCTCTCCTGATGAATTCCATTCTTCTCTGGATTGGGAGAGGTCAGCAGGCAGGCCTCCTTGCTCAGAGGTGTCTCTCCTCTTCTGAGGGAAGAAACAGGTGATAAACTATCCTGTCCCAGAACTCATCCTGCATGACTGCGAGAGAGGGGAGCCTTGCTTGACCCTGCACCACAAGGCTCCTTATCCCATGTCCTTAAAGAAACAGTCACTTTGAAACACCCAGACACTACTTATCATTCCAGGACCACTTCCTCTCTCCCCACATGTGCTCCAGAACATCTGGAACAGGGTGTGATTGACTCCAGTACCTGCTCACTCTAACATGGGACAGACCCACCCTGTTACTTGCTCTGTACACATGATTCAGTCAGGAACTCCTGAAATTGAATCCCAACTCATACACAACTTTCCTTTATGGTTTTGGATAAATCTGTGCAGAGGATGTAAATTCTGTTTTGCAAAGGATTTTAGGATTTTTATGTATGGCTTGTTTCAAACGGGAGTGAAAAAAAAATTCACCGTGAAGGAAAATTCTGAAAAAATTTGTTTTGGGTTGATGGAAACATTTCATTTCAACAAAATCAAAATGTTTTCACTTCAATTTTGCCTTTTAAATTTTTTGTATTATGATATATAATACAAAATTTAAAAATCTTCTAAACAAAGCTTTTCATTTAAAACTGAAAAACTGAAGCTTTTCATTCAAAAAATTTGAAAACAAGACACTCTGATGTTGTCAGAACTTTTTTCCCCTAGTTTTTTTCCTAAATGAAATTCTGTCAAAATCAACTGATTTTGTGAGACATTTTCATTTCAGCAGAACTGCCTGTTTTGCCAAAGTTTCTCCAACCAGCTCTAGTTTTGGATAAGCCAGCTGCCTTGTGTAAAACAGGATGACAATACTTCTGATAGACTAAGCTGCAAAATTTGGGTTCTAATTTGAATTTTTCCAAAGTTCCTATTGTTGGATCTGGGGGGGTTGATTTTACTCGTTATAGAGCAATAAGCTACTGAATCAAGATCCAGATCTGAACCTCCTCCAGAATTCAAGAGTGGGAAACAATGCTTTAGCATCTGAGATTTGGTTTGGGTCCAATCTCTAGGTAATACTTTCCTCTCTTCTACATGCATTTTGAGGCTAGATTAGTTAATTCTTACAAAGGACTTTAAAGTGGAAGGATGGTCTTGTTGTTGAGACAATAGACAGGAACTCAAGAAATCTGAGATCACTTTCCAGATCTGCTACAAACTTCCTCTGTGACTTGGACAAGTCCCTTAATCTCTAAACACCTCATTTCTCCAGTTGTACTGTGGCAATAATAATAATTTGTGTGTTTAAAGAGTGCAAGATCTTAGGGGCAGGGGCGGTCATTTACTCTGGGTATGTCTACACAGCAATTAAACACCTGCCGCTGGGCCGGTATCTGCTGAGTTGGACTCACAGAGCTCAGGCTGCAAAATTGTGGTGCAGATGTTCAGGCTTGGGCTGGATCCCAAGCTCTGGGCCCCGTGAGGTGGGAGGGTCCCAGAGCCCAGGCTTCAGCCAGAGCTCGAACATCTAGTCTGCCATTTTACAGCCCAACAACCCAAGCCAGCTGACATGGGCCAGACACGGGTGTTTAATTGCTGTGTAAATGTACCCAATGTGTTTGTAGGAAAAAGGGTCCCTGATCTTAATTGGGCTCTCTGTGTACTACTGTAATACAGATAAGAATAATCCATCATAATCATACAAACAATACAAAAAGTACCATCAT